AAAAAAGCGAGCAAACTGAATTGAGCATCTTTTAATTTCAACTATTGGGAAGTTTGCATCCTTATATAACTTTGGATGAAGGTTGATATACCAATCACAGTTGTTGGAAACCAATCAATCATAGCAGAGAAACACGCTCCATAAAGTGACGACGCTAGCCAGTCAACCCCATGACTTAAAGAAACTGTTAACGGCATGCAGATGAAAAGTTGCGATCTGCTTCAAGAGTTATTGACAATGCGTTGCAAGAATAAAAAAAAAACACTTTTTTAATCAAGGTCTGCCTCACCACACTGAATACGACAGAAACCTAAGTTGAATTTTAGAGACATCTATTCAAAAAGAAAATACCTGAAGCGAGTTGAAGATTGCAAACAGATATAGGAAGACTACTGTAGCTTGATCGAACGCAAGGACACCAAACACCCATGTGATGCCGAGAAGAGGAAGAAGGACGATGGAACATTTTATGCCAAGTCTATCAGGGAACATAAGAGACAACTGTCATCAGCTCTCCATAGCTCATGTAGTTCCCTCTCAAGGAGGTTGCTTCCTTTCTTTAACTTAAACACTCTAGTAACGCAAATTTTCCAGTTTCAACTCAAACATCCCTCGCGAGGAGTAATGTAAATACATACCCTGGATAAACTACGTTTGAAAACAAGAATTTGACGAAACTCCAAAGCAAATGCTTGTACCGTTTCCACAAGGGTTTATTGGAGTTACCGACTGCTCTGTCAATTTTCCATATAAAGCAAGTCTTACACAACTTAAAAGTTGTACCATATGCTATCCTTTTCTAAAAGAAGTAACTTTATTCATCCACTTCTACTTAGTTTTTCCGACGTAATTCGCCTGGAAGCATTTCACTCTCCTTGAATTTCATGTTTATCAAGTTCTTTAGTTTAAAACCTTTATCTAATACCTTGGGTTAAAAATAAGAAAGACGATCCATGTTTGAGTCTTACTTTATTTTCTCCTTGTCTTGAGCCCCAATCATTTTGTGACTTGTCATCATGGCCCGTAGAACCAATACAAATATGATGCAGTTTACCTACCAGGAATTAATTTAATAACAAATATCATTCACTCCATTCGGTGGATGACGTGAAGAAATCTCAATAAAAGTTTTCTAAACAGTGTTTTCGGGTGTCCTCTATTGATCAGAAAAGTGTAGACGCGAACGTATTAAGATGTTCCCTTTTTTATCGTTGGATTGTTTGTCGTTATCTCAATTTAAAGCCCAAGGTTTGGATTAGAATATAAAGACTT